AGTCCGCGGCGGGGCCGTAGGAGAGCCGGCGGTGGGGCCGCGTAGGAGCCGGGGCGGGGCCGCGCGAGAGTAGGCGGCGGGGCCGCGTAAGAGCCTGGGCGGGGCCGCGACAGAGCCGTTGGCGGGGCCGCGTGAAGGCCGGGGCGGGGCCGCGTAGGAGCCGGGGCGGGGCCGCGTGAGAGCAGGCAGCGGGGCCGCGTAAGGGAGGGCGGCGGGGCCGCGTCAGTGGAGGCGGCTGAGCCGCAGGGGAAAAGGCGACCCGAGGGGTCGCTAAAAAAAAATCGCGCCTCGGGGCGCGCTTCGGTGGGCCCAAAAAAAACGGTCCTTAGAAGGACCCGCTCTATACCATGTGAGAATAAGCGAACAGGAATGAATGAACTAGCAGTGAAATGAGTACAAGTAGGAAACCCTAGAATTGTGTACCCCCTATAGGCTAACCCACTGTAGCCTACACAAGCATAACATATATAATGTTTGACAAACACGTGTCTAGCGATAACTCGCTATTGACTCAACACACACACTCGACATCATGATTTAACATTCACACACTATTATAAGCATGAAATATATATTATCCCATGCCCTCATACCATTCCATACACACACACATGCACGCACACGGACAACAAGCCGAGTGCAAACCATAGGGTTGCACCAACAACGGGCTAGGCAAACGGGAGTGTCCAGCACTGTACATCTGAAACCCTGAACCGTGCGCGTCACGGGGAGGGCAAAAGTACAGTGCAGAATCGAACCAATGGGAGAGACCTGCCACTTGCCCAGCCGAAGATATTTTCTGCTGGTAAACCAAGAGCCCATTTTGAAGTGGAGCAACAGACAGAATGTGTAGCCACTGATTCAATTTCCCAAGCCGGACAGTTGTGCAAGAACTGGCTAGTACCAGCAGTAACTAGCTCATTCACTACAGTAGCTAATAGCTAGCTAGCTCGCCACGAAGCAACCCATGACTACTACGAATAAACCTAAGTGATGTCCTCGATCGCTGCCAGTGTTGGCAACTGCCAGTTGAACAGTTCGGCGAATCTCCAGTGGCGCCACTACATCACAATGTTCCTACCTTTTTGTGGTTGGGTTCGGCAATTTGTCGAATAGCAATTTCAGGCGCGACTCAGCTGCAACACCAACGGAAATTTCAGGCACTCAATTTCGCCCCTCACGAAATTCTCCTGCCTGTTTCCAGACTGTTTTCCAGTTCGTCCGAGCCGCGATTGCACATCGCTTCCCAAAATAGCAGTTCGGAAATTCAGCGGTTCGTTTTAATTCGACATTGCAGTAAGCCTCGTTTTGTGTACTGGCAATTTAAGTATGGATGATTTCAGGAACAACACGTAGACGATATTATTTGTTTCTACAATGCAAGAATGCAATTATTAGTTGTAACTACAGATTACACTATGTATTTGTTCATCATGTACACATCCGGCTCTTCCGGGTCATACATTTTCACCACATGCACGTGGCGCAAGATGGATGCGATTGGAATTATGTGAAATGCAATCTCGTCTGCGGGCCATCGCAGACGCACGCAACCTGTTGTTGCGTCTGTGCCTGACGTCATGTAGTACCTGACGTATGCAAGGTTGTGTCGTACGTTGTGCCTCTTGCAATGGAACAGGAGCATCAACATAGCGTATTCCACGCCACCTCCCTCGCACGAAATTGCAACGTTAGAGAACCAAGGTCTTTTGTAGCTGTCCGGTGTAGCCCTCACAAAATGGGCTTCTTTGGATAACTGAGTACCCGCATCAGCCGGGATTGCCATTGTTGGATGAGCCTGAAAGTATACATGTACAAGAATGGTGTGAGAAATTGTTGTACGGTAGTAATATTCGATTGCTGCACGAGTAAAAGCTTACCATGACCTTTTCGGCGCTCAAGCCATACTCGGCCAACGCCATTTCGAAGTACTGATGTGCGATTGGCTGTTGAGCAGCCCACTTGTTGTAGAACTCGTTCATCTTGGTTGGCTCAGCTGGAGGCTTGACAAACACCGCGTACGCGTCTTGGGTAACTACCGGTGTGCCAAGGTTTGCTGCCTGCATGTATCCAATATTGTGTGTGTTAACAATTGCAGAATGGTGCTGCATATGTTGTGTCAATAAATGAGGACTTACTTGCAGCATTGATGTCTCGTGGCCGCACTCGGGTGTGTCCAGAGTTTGGTATACCGCCCTTTTCTCATGGTGTTCCATGATTTGGGCCTCGACGCCACGTTTGTTGGTACGTCGATAGATTCGCTTCACCAACGGCCCGTGCAGATGTTCAAACATCGCTGATGAGTACTCGGACACGTGGCCTGCTCTCCTTATCGCTCCAGGGTAGTGTGTCATGAGGTGTGTTTTGATTGAACACCACTCTGATTTTTGCTCAGGAAAGGCATCCTGCAGCTCTTTGACCAGCCTGTTGGAGTGCATTTACAGACAGCACTTGGCAAGGTGTGCATTTACAAAGCACCAGCAACATTGGGTGTAAGGTGTTATTGATCACACTTTTGAGTAATGGGTTCAGGATCCTTCGGGTGTTTTTACAGCACATAAACAGAAAAGAACAGTTAATCATGAAATGGAATGGTACGTATCAGTCAAACCCTCTAGAGTCGATAGATCTCTCTCCGTGTGGCCGGGTTGCTTGGCGCAGAATAGGTACCAATCCAGGTACGCTCGGATTGCGCTCAAGCACTTCTCCTCTACCGTGTCTGAGACGATGAAGAGGAGCACCTGGGGAGGGTGTGGGTTAGTGCAAATCTTGTGTATGCATTGTCCACAATAAGGCATCAGCAACAAAACGTAAGCTCCATAGGCATAAACAAACACGTACCATGAGCACCGCATGATGCTCGTATGCCGCAATTCGGGCAGAGGACGTGAAGTAGTTGGCTGACGGAAAACGGACGTTAGTCATCCTCGTATCAGCGCGGATTCGAGCTAGCCGCCTAAAAATGGGAGTGCATGGGCGAAAGATAAGGCGGGTAGACAAAGGAACAGCAAGGGTGATTGGCAGATGGGGGATATATGTGGCAGGGGAGTGAGTGAAGCAGCAGGGGTGATGGGGATGGGGCGAGCGAAAAACAGCAAGGGTGATTGGCAGATGGGGGATGTATGTGGCAGGGGAGTGAGTGAAGCAGCAGGGGTGATGGGGATGGGGCGAGCGAAAAACAGCAAGGGTGATTGGCAGATGGGGGATGTATGTGGCAGGGGAGTGAGTGAAACAGCAGGGATGATGGGGATTGGGCGAGCAAAAAAAGCATGGTGGGAAATGGACAGAGTTTAGGAGGCAGTAGGGTGTGACAGAATAAGTCATGTGGATGGGATGCTGATAGGAGAAGCAGATTTGGAAGGGGACTTACGCGTCGAACAAGGCGAGGCTCCGGCCGTATGACGCACGAACTGCAGCCACGATGTGGTGTAGAATGCCTAGGCCAGACTGGTCCATTATGTCAGGCATGATCGCTTGGTACGGATTCGCCCATTGCGCGCCAGGCACATCCCAGTGCCAGATTGCGCACTGCAAACAAATCGCTCAACATAGTCGATTTTAGAAGGTAGATAGTTTCAAGAACGCTAATATAATTAAGCATGTATGCACATACCTCAATGCCGAATGTGGAAAACTGGGCCGCAGCCGTCTTTACAGTTCCCAACTTGTCCCCTGCATGCTCCACGATCCAGCGTTGTTGGTCGACTGTCCTAGGCGTGTTCTCAGCAGTGACACAGTCAAGATGCTCCTGAAAGGGGGTGCAAGGATATCAACCATAGTTGTGGCGGTGCAAATGAGAGCGCCATGGCTGGGGGTGCAAAGGTGAAACCTATGGCAGCGGGGGCGCAAGAATGCCAAGTATGGTAGTGGGGGCGCAAGTAAGGCGGTCGGAAATAGTGTCTTACCTTCTCAGCATAGCAGATACTGCAAGGACGAGCAGTGCCACCAGATAAGGTGCAGGTGACTTTCCCACTTTTGGGGTAATCACATACCCATGTGTAAAGCATGGGTCTGACCACATGCTCCACGCCATTGGGGTCCTTGATCAAGAAGCCACTGTCATGGAAATGCATGTTGTGGAACGAAAGGGGTTTGGTCATCATAATCACGCGCTGATACATGGGGAATCTGCTTTGTTAAGAAATATATATATATATTTAGCAAAAATACAAGAGCAATGGGTTTTGCAGGAATGGCAAACATGGCAAGGGGGGGACACGCTTCAGTTACCACGTCATAATTGGGCGCCGGAATGGCAGAGTGGGAGCCAGTGGGTAGACATTTTAGTGTAACACTAATTATTAAACAATGATCACCTTTCTCGCCCCGCAAGGAGCTTTTCAAGCATGGTCAATGCGGCTTGTTGGAAAAGGGCAGTTTTCTGACCGGGTGACATGGTAGTGGGGGGGATAGGGAGAGTTCCGAGCAGACAATGCCCAGACGATGCCCAGCACTTGCCCTACCGGATGTTCCCCAATGTCATCATAACAGGCCAAGCCAATTTGCGCCCGTTTTCGCTCAGGTGCGTCACGTCGCTGTAGAGCATAATGGCCGCAACTAACTCACCTTCTCCCACATGATCCTGCAATTGCATATAGGGTCGAATAGAGGGGGATTGTCAGCCTCCAACCAAAAAGCAGGCGAAAGCAGTTGAGTAACGCAAGGATGAGGTTGGGTTGAGATGGAAGGACAGGCCTAGATTACACGAGTGTAGGCAATAGCAGGCGAGTAATAGGATTGTCAGGTGAGAGGTGTGTGTGAGAATGGAGTATAGGGCTGGAATACACAAGGCATGGAATCAAGAGCATGTGAGTGACGCAAGTATGAGGTGACAGTGTGCTACAAGGGTAATGTTTGACTAGACAAGACACAGAGAGGTGACTTGCAGGTGAGGAAATATGACAGGCATGGAATCAACAAGGCACGTAGGCAAGAACAGGTGAATAACGAAGTCATGAGGTGTTAGTTGCAGGTGCGCAGATGCGGCATACCTGGGCATTATGCCACCATGTGCCCGTCTCTGGGGTGGAGTAGCGTCGCTGGCCGGTTTCAGGGTCAGTGTCCATGCGTGGCTTCAGCACAAAGCCGGGTGCATTGGCTGGGTCTCCAAACATGTCCGCCAAGGCCTGCGATTACATGGCGCATAGGGGCGGAATGGAAGAATAGATGAGCAGCAGAGGTCCCGAATAGCAGAGGAGTGGAACAGCAAAGGAGCAGAACAGCAGAGAGCGGAACAGCAGAGGAGCGGAACAGCAGAGGAGCGGAACAGGGGAGGAGCGGAACAGCAGAGGAGCAGAACAGCAGAGGAGCGGAACAGCAGAGGAGCGGAACAGGAGAGGAGCGGAACAGGAGAGGAGCGGAACAGGAGAGGAGCGGAACAGGAGAGGAGCGGAACAGGAGAGGAGCGGAACAGGAGAGGAGCGGAACAGGAGAGGAGCAGAACAGGAGAGGAGCGGAACAGGAGAGGAGCGGAACAGGAGAGGAGCGGAACAGGAGAGGAGCGGAACAGGAGAGGAGCGGAACAGAAGAGGAGCGGAACAGGAGAGGAGCGGAACAGGAGAGGAGTGGAACAGGAGAGAAGCGGAATAGGAGAGGAGCGGAACAGGAGAGGAGCGGAACAGGAGAGGAGCGGAACAGCAGAGGAGCGGAACAGCAGAGGAGCGGAACAGAAGAGGAGCGGAACAGGAGAGGATTGGAACAGCAGGAGATTGGAAATGTAGAGGAGCAAAACAGCAGAGGAGCAGAGCAGCATCGAGATGGGCATGCAAGGGGGAAGTCACCTGCGCCGGATCTCGGAAAAACAACGTCTGTTCATCAAAGTCGTCCACTTCGTAGGTTGCCATGCTCCACCCACGGCCCAGGCCAGCGAGCTCTTCGATTTCAAAGCGCTTGAGCTTCCGGCAGTTTTTGAACTTCGCCAACACCAGCTCCGCGAGCTCTAGATACATCAACAGCTGCAGTATCCCATTAATATCGACTTCCGCCATGCCCATCTTCCCATTGGTGAGGCGGACCAGATGGATGAAGCGCAATACTAAAGGATCCGTGGGGAATGGGGCCTGGGACTGTGCAACAACGGAAATCGGAGGTGCTGAAGCATTGCTGGTCGCAGTGTTGTCCTCGCCATTCAGATTTTCGAATGAAAGCGGTTGCGGGTTAGACCCGCAAGCAGAGGTGTCAGAGCTGCTCGCGTCGGATCCAATAGCCGAGGTCGCTGGCTCGTCCGCGTCACTAGGCTCCAGACGTGGCTCAGTATTGGTGTTGGTCGGAGGCGGAGCATCCGCCACCATGAAGACATGTTGCCCAGCCACCGTTTCAGTTGCAGCAGTTCCAGCGGCATACTTTAAGCAATAGCTGGACCTCCCCTTGTGCTGTCCAAAAGCCTTAGCGTCCTTGAACTGGTTGGTGCAAAACCGGCACGAAATCCACTCATGGCGTGTCATGACTACAGGTGGTGACGAAATCGCTATGTGTCAGACATTAGGCGAGAGGACTGACGATATGACTGGAGTTATGGAGCTTTGTACAAGGCGTTGCCAGTAGTGGTGGATAGATCAGTACGTAGTAGAAAAGGTGAAACGAAAACCAGAGGTGACGCGACAGCAGTTTGAACTGGCAAAGTTTTGAAGAACGAGCGCAAACGCAATGCCGAGATCTAGGACACGTATCTGATACTAGAGTGTTGTCGAGGTGGAGGCGAAAGGTCGAGGAGCAGTGTAGTGCAGTGAACTTAGTCTAAACATTATCTTGGTATAAATCATGCACAAAACAAATGTCCAAACCAGAAAGGGTACTATATTATTACGAAATGGATTGGAGAAGTGTACGCTCAAGCAAAAGATGCCTTGACGCTTGCCTTCACGCCACTGTGTTCCGCTTCTCTGACGGCTCTGAGATTGGTGTGAGGAGCTCATGGCATATGGGGAGAAAGTTGGTTAAGATATCAGGCCCATCCAATCACTCTAGCATTGTAACTCAAGCCGGTGCATCAAGTGCAATGGGGCTGTTTTTTCAACCATGACACTTGCCTTGCCGCTTGCCTTCACGCCACTATGTTCCGCTTCTCTGACGGCTCTGAGATTGGTGTGAGGAGCTCATGGCATATGGGGAGAGAGTTGGTTAAGATATCAGGCCCATCCAATCACTCTAGCATTGTAACTCAAGCCGGTGCATCAAGTGCAATGCGGCTGTTTTTTCAACCATGACACATGCCTTGACGCTTGCCTTCACGCCACTGTGTTCCGCTTCTCTGATGGCTCTGAGATTGGTTTGAGGAGCTCATGGCATATGGGGAGAGAGTTGGTTAAGATATCAGGCCCATCCAATCACTCTAGCATTGTAACTCAAGCCGGTGCATCAAGTGCAATGGGGCTGTTTTTTCAACCATGACACTTGCCTTGACGCTTGCCTTCACGCCACTGTGTTCCGCTTCTCTGAACGCTCTGAGGTTTGTATGAGGAGCTCATTGCATATGGGTAGTGAGTTGGTTAAGAGATCAGGGGCGTTGTTTATGGGTATATATGATGATGGCCTGTGAAACAACCAAAACTATGTTGACAGCCTGGCACCTTACTAGGTCACAGAGGTAGCACATGGTTCCATTGATTATAAACACAAATGATGGAGATGACACAAACTGTGATGGCCAGAGAATGAGAGTTTGAGTGCTAGAAGCTTCGTTTGTATAGCTTGTTACGGCGGTTCTTGTAAAATTCAGGGAAATAAGCTTTTCTTTACAAAACAATAGAGGAGGACTAGGGGAAATAGTAGAGACACTTGAATGAAGATTTATACCTCAACCAAAGTGTTTATGAGCCCTAGAAGACATCGAAATATGAGCGCGTTTGGAGACATAAACCAATCCCATGTGCATATTTGTGCATGATTCAGCAGTATTAATGCAATGTATAGCTATGACTATCCTAAAACAAACACACGTACAATTTCCAACACTTGACCAAATCTGTGGCTTTCAGTATGGCGTCTTTGAGAGAGACCTTCTGTAATGTAATCTATATAAGCCTACCATTTTGTACATCTATATTTAGGGTTGTTACTGATCTTCAACGCCATCCCCCTATCTATGGCCGTCATCACCGGTCACTGTAGATTTCAGGGACCAATGGAGGCCTTTCCTTTTTTTACAGCGACACTCACCAGAAAGCGAGCCATTAGCAAGAACATGTGCATGCACTTAGGGCGAGTGGCCTTGAGGTCGTAGTTTGGCCAAATTTTGCACTTCTAGAGTGGTTGTGCACGGTAAGATGTATTTAAGAGACGTTTTGCCACGGTAGAACGCGGTAATAGGGTCGACCTTAGACATTTTTTGCCATAAGACTTGCGTCCTTACAATCACAAGCGCTGCACGGTTCTTCACTTCGAACCACTTACATCCTACCGCTTGAGAGGGAGTATGCGTCGCCTCGTTTGTGAGAGGAACAGCGTCTCGAGTTGCGACATGACAGACCCCACCAGCAGATATGCAGCATTGGTGATTCTCTCTTTTAGTCTTACCGAGCGCACGTCCAGTGCAGGATGTCCAGTGCAACCCTCTTTGGTCGCCTTCGTTTTCTGCAGATGGCTATCGCGCCTCTGTCTGATGCACGTAACTTGCCTCACCACCGATTGTCAACCTTCCGACGGTGCTGTACGTGTCTCTCGTGGCGGCTTCATGTCTCCCACGTCCCTCGTATTCATCGATCTGCGAGCCGTGGTGGTCGGGATGCTGTCACGCCGGGCACGATACGAGCGTAGCGCAAGCGTTGAGGTGCGAAGAGCGGTGCACCATGAACTGTTTATAACCGATGTTTTGGTTCGAGCTTGTAGTACTTGCTCAAAACTTTGACTACTAACAAACGCCTTCACTTACAGCCCTTTGCATCTCAGCAATGTTGCGGCCAACCATCTCCCAAGGCCGTAAGGGTGAGCAGGCGGGAGAGCAGGCGAACGCAAAAAAAGGCGGTGGGCGTCGAAAGAGAGGTGGTAAGAAAGCACAATACGCCACCGAGGAACGGCGCAAGCTCCCAGATGGCTTCACCGCGGACATTCTAGGTGAGAATGACGACGGTACGGAAACGTCCGCCGATCCGAACGGCTATGCGGTCGATAATGTGGCGCACGGTGAACAGGCTGTGTTTGGTGTGGCGAATGATGATGGTTCATATCACGACGAGACGTATGGCGAGAAGGTGGTTGGTGAAGCGGACAAAGGCAAAGCGGACGGAGGCGAAGCGGACGAAGGGGAAGCGGATGAAGGGGAAGCGGACGAAGGGGAAGCGGACGACGACGAAGCGGACGAAGGCGAATCGGACGAAGGCGAAGCGGACGAAGGCGAATCGGACGAAGGCGAAGCAGGCGAAAGCGAAGCGGACGAAGGCGACGCGGATGAAGGCGAAGCGGACGAAGGCGAAGCGGACGAAGGCGAAGCGGACGAAGGCGAAGCGGACGAAGGCGAAGCGGACGAAGGCGAGGAGGGGGAAGGCGAGGAGGGGGAAGGTGAAGGGGCGGAAGGCGGAGAGGCGGAAGGCGTAGGAGCTGTTGGCGAGGAGGCGGAAGGCGAAGGGGCGGAAGGTGGGGAGTGGGATGGCGAAGAGGGGGAAGGCGAAGAGGGGGAAGGCGAAGAGGGGGAAGGCGAGGAGGGGGAAGGCGAAGAGGGGGAAGGCGAGGAGGGGGAAGGCGAAGAGGGGGAAGGCGAGGAGGGGGAAGGCGAAGAGGGGGAAAGCGTAGGGGCTGTAGATGGGGCTGGAGAGGAGGCGAAAGGCGAAGAGGGGGAAGGCGAAGAGGGGGAAGGCAAAGAGGGGGAAGGCGAAGAGGGGGAAAGCGTAGGGGCTGTAGATGGGGCTGGAGAGGAGGCGGAAGGCGAGGAGGCGGAAGGAGAGGAGGCGGATGGGGTCCAGGCAAATGGCGACAATGTGGGCAAAGGCTTGTCCGATTACTCCAATTTTAGTGCAGAGGAGAGAACTAATGGGCGGCGGACACGCGTACAAGCACTCAGCCGCGGGTCGACGCTGCATGAGGATGAAGAAGCTGCACGAGTGGTGAAGAAAGGGCGGTTTATGATTCTGGGGGCCGCACCGGATGATACGCAACAGTGCGGTAATGGGCGTGGCGGAGAAGCAAAGGATAAACAAGGAGGGCAGATCGTGAAAGGGGCATTGGCGGGCGGCGAAGCCACCCACGAAGCGCAGGAGTAAGAAGGCTAGCACTAAACCCCTTCTAAAGGGTAAAGGTGAAGCAACGGAGGGGAAGACAAAGACAAAACCTAAGCCCAAAAAGTGTAAGTCATCCACTTTTTGCCCTCCGGCCCTGTAACCCTTCGTTCTGACCCGCCTTGCTTTTTCCCATCCGTCTCTGTCAATACTCCCGTTGTCCCATGAATATTCCCAACTAGCTTCCCTAAACTGTCCTGACCTGTCCCCTCATGCGCTAACCCATCCTGACCTGTCCCATCTTGCTCTCACCCTACACCAATCAGCGGTGAAGAATTCTGGTGTGGGTCCGCCAACCACCATCGAGCGATTCAACCTTGGGGGGGGAGGGGGGAAGTTGCCCCAGCTACAGGTCACCTAGCGGGAAACTACTAGTGCGATGCAAGTGGGAGCAGCAGCAGTTCCTGTGGGTATGACTGTTGCGAGGGTGGGAGGAGCAGCGTCAGCGGGAGGGAGGGTGGGAGCAGCAGCAGCATCAACTGGGATGAGGGTGGGAGCAGCACCAGCGTCAACGAGAGGGAGGGTGGGAGCAGCAGCAGCATCAACTGGGGTGAGGGTGGGAGGAGCAGCAGCGGCATCGACTGGAGGGAGGGTGGGAGCAGCAGCGGCATCGACTGGAGGGAGGGTGGGAGGAGCAGCGGCATCGACTGGAGGGAGGGTGGGAGCAGCAGCGGCATCGAATGGAGGGAGGGTGGGAGGAGCAGCGGCATCGACTGGAGGGAGGGTGGGAGGAGCAGCGGCATCGACTGGAGGGAGGGTGGGAGGAGCAGCGGCATCGACTGGAGGGAGGGTGGGAGCAGCAGCGGCATCGACTGGAGGGAGGGTGGGAGGAGCGGCGGCATCGACTGGAGGGAGGGTGGGAGGAGCGGCGGCATCGACTGGAGGGAGGGTGGGAGGAGCAGCGGCATTGTCTGGAGGGAGGGTGGGAGGAGCAGCGGCATCGACTGGAGGGAGGGTGGGAGGAGCAGCGGCATCGACCGGAGGGAGGGTCGGAGGAGCAGCGGCATCTACTGGAGGGAGGGTGGGAGCAGCAGCAGCATCTACTGGAGTTTTCAGGCCCAGGGATACCACTACTGTAAGGACGCCGCCTCCAGGGCCCACGGCTTTGGCTGCCGTATCAACCAGGGTGGCGCAGACGCAGTGGGTATCACGAGCGGAGTTTGCGGTGCTTAGGAAGGAGATGCTCCAACAGTTTGAGAGCCTCAGGGCTCAAGGAGTCGCGGTTCCTGCTCAAGGACTTGCGTCGCAGGGCAGCGACGCAACAACAGGCGTTCCTCGCCCTCCAAGTCAGAGTGCCGGACAAATCGCTCTGGAAATGGTGATCGTCGATGCTGGAGACTGGAAGGTGCGTATAAACCCTTGCTGCCCTTTCCTCTCATGCTCTATTCTCTCATGCAGTCTTCCCACCAGCTCTGTTCCCCGTTGATTTGCCACTCCTGCTCTGTCCCTTCCTGTGCGCTCCTCTCCTGCTCTGTCCCCTCCAGTGCTCTCCCTTCCTGCCTTGTCTCGCTGCTCCTCTGCACTCACCATGCCATGCCCCGTAGTGGTCTCCACCACGTACATTTTGTGTTGTCCCACCCTTCCATCTACTCATACATTTTTTTTCTGGCAGGCGAAGTGCCGGAGTGTCATCACCGAGTTCTTCTGGCTGAACGACGCTCGTCACATCCAGATGTATCCGTCGAGTGAAGAGGCGATGGCTGGGTTATCTACGTATCTGTCCCCTGATACCATGCCCCACTTGCAACTGCTGTGGAAACAACAATGCCCAACAACAAAGGGGGCATTCTATACAGCATGCAGCAATACCTGGTGTGCAATTGGCAAAATACTCCGTCGATTGGTTCTAACTGCATTGGGGCAGGAGAAAAACAAGGGGAAGGTGATGTCCCTCCCGGCGGATTTGGATCGTCCGGCGGTGTATCGGAACGATGCCGAACTGGTCCGGGACAACATGACTGGTGAGCTCCTAACCCTTGCTCTCTCCCCCCCTCCTCTGTCACATGCTCTCTCCCCCCCTCCTCTGTCACATGCTCTCTCCCCCCCTCCTCTGTCACATGCTCTCTCCCCCCCTCCTCTGTCACATGCTCTCTCCCCCCCTCCTCTGTCACATGCTCTCTCCCCCCCTCCTCCGTCACATGCTCTCTCCCCCCATTCTCTGTCACATGCTCTCTCCCCCCCTCCTCTGTCACATGCTCTCTCCCCTCCTCTGTGACATGCTCTCTCCCTTCCTTCTGTCACATGCTCTGTCCCCTCCTCTGTCACATGCTCTGTCCCCTCCTCTGTCACATGCTCTGTCCCCTCCTCTGTCACATGCTCTGTCCCCTCCTCTGTCACATGCTCTGTCCCCTCCTCTGTCACATTCTGTCCCCTCCTTTGTCACATTCTATCCCCTCCTCTGTCACATTCTGACCCCTCCTCTGTCACATGCTCTGTCCCCTCCTCTGTCACATGCTCTGTCCCCTCCTCTGTCACATGCTCTGTCCCCTCCTGCTCTGACCACTCCCGTGCTCTCCCCTCCTGCTCTGTCCCATCCCGCGCTTTTACCTCCTGATCTGTCCTTCCCTTGCTCTCCCCTCCTGCTCTGTCCCCTCCCTTGCTCTCCCCTCATGCTCTGTCTCCTCCCATGCTCTCCCCTCCTGCGCTGTCCCTTCCCATGCTCTCACCTCCTCTATCACATGCTCTGTCCCCTTCTGTGTCCCCTCGTCTGTCACATGCTCTGGCAGATGAGCGGGGGCTGAAATGGCATGTTGACCCGATCACGCAGCGCCCATTCTCCACGAAATTGTTTGAGATCGCCATGAGCAAGGCGTTTCGAAGGCGCCACGTCGATGTCACAGCGTGGAAGACACGCATGGTGGCTTTGGCCTTGTTTTCAGTAAGTGTTTTTTCATTATATCCAACGGTTAGGTTTTAATATCAACATGTTAATGCTGTTGCGCCTTGTTCCTGTGTTCAGCTCGAGAACCCACTGTTGGAGGCAGCAGGGGATGGCAAGCTGGGCACGGACCAGCGTGAAAACCGCAGGTTGTACGAGCTAACGTGCATCAGGGTTCGACGTTGGGTGGAGCACTCTGTGAATGTGCTGGGCGTCACGCATGATGCGACAACAAATGAGTGGGTGTTCGAAAACGGGGTCCGTATTGATGCGTCGGATTACTCTGCACTATTGCCTGTTTGAATTTCTGGTTAGTGAGAATGGCAATAAATGCACCGATCCTTAAAGCAGTAATATGGGCAATACTAGTTGTCAGAACATATCTATAGCTTATACTGCTGTGTAGGCTGTAGTGGGGTATCCCATAGGGGGTACAACCCAGTTAGGGTTTCATATTTGTACTGCTTTCATTCATAGTTCATTCATTCCTGCTTACTCTTTTCACATGGTATAGAGCTAGGTCCCTCCAGGACCGAAATTTTTGGGCCCACCGAAGCGCGCCCCCGAGGCGCGAATTTTTTTTAGCGACCCCTCGAGTCGCTCTCTCCTCTGCGGCCTCGCCGCCCACTCTGTCGCGGCCCCGCCCTGCTCCTTACGCGGCCCCGCCGCCTGCTCCTTACGCGGCCCCGCCCCGGCCCTTACGCGGCCCTTACGCGGCCCCACGCCAGCCCCTTACGCGGCCCTTACGCGGCCCTTACGCGGCCCCGCCCCGGCCCTTACGCGGCCCTTACGCGCCGGCCCCTTACGCGGCCCTTACGCGGCCCTTACGCGGCCACGCCGCCGGCTCCTACGCGGCCCCTCGCCGGCTCCTTACGCGGCCCAGCCCCGGCCCTTTCGTGGCCCCGTCCCCGGCCACTACGCGGCTCCGCGCCGGCTCCTACGCGGCCCTTACGCGGCCCCGCACCGGCCCCTTACGCGGCCCTTACGCGGCCCTTACGCGGCCACACCGCCGGCCTCCTACGCGGCCCTGCCCCGGCTCCTATCACAGCCCCGCCCCGGCTCCTTCGCGGCCCTGCCCCGGCTCCTACGCGGCCCTACCGCCGGCCCTGACGCGGCCCCGCCCCGTCTCACTTCTACGCGACCCGAGCCGCCTGTCACCGAGCCGCCCGGGACCCTAGCCGCCCTGCAGCCGAGCCGCCCGGGAGCCGAGCCGCCCTGCAGCCGAGCCGCCCGGGAGCCGAGCCGCCCTGCACCCGAGCCGCCCTGCAGCCGAGCCGCCCGGGAGCCGAGCCGCCCTGCACCCGAGCCGCCCTGCCGCCGAGCCGCCCGGGAGCCGAGCCGCTGTACACCTGAACCGCCCGGTCGCCGTTCTGCTTTTCTGTCGAGCTGCGCGACCTGCCCTACCTGGTGAGCACAGTCCCACTGTCACTGCGTGCTCTCCCCCCTACTGCTTGCACTGCTTCACAGTCGTCGTCATGGCTACCCCTAGTGTCCTAGCTTTTGACGCTGAGGGTCGCGCCATTGATTTTGAGGTCTGGTTAGACGACCTGCAGCTGTTCTTACAGTGCGACAGGGCTGACGACCTTTCTCTCTTTGACCTCACCTCTGGCGCCTCTCCTGCCCCTGCTGCTGATGCTGATCCCGCTGTCCGCTCTAAGTGGGCCACCCGCGATGCTGCTGCACGTCTTGCTGTGCGTCGCCACCTCCCTACCTCTGAGCGTGCGCACTTTAGTCAGTACAAGAGTGCTCAGACCTTGTACGACGCTGTAGTTGCGCGCTACTCCTCCCCTGCCACTGCTGCACTGAGCCGTCTCATGCTTCCCTACCTCTTTCCTGACCTCTCTGCCTTTCCCACTGTCGCTGACCTCATTACGCACCTCCGCACTAGTGACACTCGCTACCGCGCCGCCCTTCCTGCTGAGTTCTGCGCTAAGAACCCCCCCCCCATGTACATCGCTCTCTACTACGTAGTCGCACGCCTCCCTGACTCCCTTCGCGTTGTCAGGGACCACTTTCTCGCAGTCTGTCCCACCACTCTCACCGTCGACCTCCTCGAGAAGGCCCTCCTTGCAGCGGAGAAGAGCATAGTCGCTGTAGGTGCTTCTCGTGGTGACCCTCGCACCCCCATCTTTGAGGGGTGCTCTCCTTCCCCCTTGCTGCCCTCTGTTGCCTCTGCTGCTGCTGCCGACCTGCTTGGTCTTGAGTCGGTCGGCGCGGCGTCTGCCCCTAGTGGGAGACGTCGCTCCAGCAAGGGCAAGGGGGGCAAGGGCGCGGGTGGAGCTGGAGGGGGCGGTGGCGGTGGCGGCGGTGGCGGCGGAGGGAGTGGGGGTGGCGGCGGGGCTAGTGGCGGGGGTGGTGGTGGTGGTGGCGGCAGCAGCGGCGGAGACGGTGGTGGTGGTGCCAGCGGTGGTGGTGGAGGCAGCGGCGGAGGTGGAGGCGGCGGAGGTGGAGGCAGTGGAGGCGGCAGCGGAGGAGGCAGTAGTGGTGGAGGAGGTGGAGCTGGTCGGGGTGGTACCCAGCAGCGTAGCGGCGGTGGTGGTGGCCAGCGCTCGCACCGGCAGCAGCAGCAGCGCTCGCGGGACATCCCTTCGCCTCAGCAGCTTCGTGAGTGGTACGCTGGGCGTCAGAGGGGTGGGGGTACTGGTCCCTGCACCTACGTTCTTCGTTCCGGCGACCGCGCGGGTGAGCAGTGTGGGGGTGCCCACGCCACCCAGCGCTGCTTTGGCCGCCTGACGGACGCTTGGCGTCAGCAGTTCCCTGGGGCTAGTGAGATCCCTCGCTGGGATGAGCTTCTCAGGGCTGGTGTAGCGATCTTTGATCTTGATTTTGATGCTATCCTTACTGCTATGTATGTTGTGGATTATAGTGAGGAGAATGAGGGTTACCGGTGTTTTCAGCCCGACCCGGGCATTGGTACTGCTGCGCTAGGTGCTTGTGAGGCTGCTGCTCTAGGTGCCAGTGCGTCTGCGCTCTCAGGTACTGGTGAGACTGCGCTCTCAGGTACTGAGTCGTCCTCGTCCTCCCTCACTTTCACACTTGACTCCGGAGCTTCTCGCTCCTTCTTTCGAGACCGCACTACCCTTTCGCCGCTCGCCAGGCCGGTTGCGGTCTCCCTTGCTGACCCCTCTGGGGGTCCTGTCCTGTCTCACTTCTCCACTGTCCTCCCGTGTCCGGCTGCCCCTTCGGGCACCCTGTCGGGTCTGTACCTTCCCTCGTTCTCTACGAACTTGGTGAGTGGAGCGGACCTGCAGGATGGGGGTGTTCACCAGTTCACTCCTGCGCGTCAGAGGGTGACCCACTGCACGGAGGCTCGCACAGGCCGACACCTGGCCACGTTCTCACGTCGGCCGGGGTCGAGTCTCTACACCCTGACCGTTGAGTCTCCTCCTGTCCCTGAGTCTGGTCAGGTGGCTGCGTCGGGTCAGGTACTTGCTGCTGCGTCCCGGTCAGGTCCTGAGTCTGCCCCCTGTTCTTGTCGCCTCCTGTCTCACGAGACTCTCCTGTGGCACCACCGTCTTGGCCACCCCTCCTTGCCCCGTCTTCGGAGCATGGCTTCCCGTGTCCTTGTCTCTGGTCTTCCCCAGTCTCTCCCTCCTCTCCCCTCCGGGCCAGGACCTTCCTGTGTCCCCTGTGTCGAGGGTCGCCTCCGGGCTACTCCTCACTCCTCCCACTTCCCCCCGACAGAGGCTCCCCTGCAGACGCTTCACATGGATGTGTGGGGCCCAGCCCCCGTCCGTGGGCAGGGTTACGAGCGCTACTTCCTGTTGGTGGTTGACGACTACTCGCGTTACACCACAGTCCTCCCCTTGCGCAGCAAGGGTGCGGTCACTGAGGTGCTGATCGACTGGATCCGCGAGGCTCGTCTCCAGCTCAGGAAGAGCTTCGGCTCGGACCTTCCTGTTCTGCGTCTGCACTCTGACAGAGGCGGAGAGTTCTCTTCTCGCCTTCTGCGAGACTACTGTCGTGCACGGGGGATCCGCCAGACCTTCACGCTTCCGGACTCACCACAGCAAAATGGGATTGCTGAGCGCCGCATTGGCATGGTCATGGATGTCGCTCGTACGTCCATGATGCATGCGGCTGCCCCCCATTTTCTGTGGCCGTTTGCGGTGAGGTACGCGGCGCATCAGCTCAACCTTCACCCCCGGGTCTCTCGGCCAGCGATGTCCCCAGCCTTGCTGTGGACGGGGAAGGTTGGCGATGCGTCTGTGTTCCGTGTCTGGGGATCTCGGGCGTTTGTCCGCGACTTGTCTGCGGACAAGCTGTCCCCTCGTGCTGCTCCCTGTGTCTTCCTTGGCTTCCCCACTGACGCCCCAGGGTGGCAGTTTTACCACCCC